TGGACTCTGCGTGTGTGGGAGAAACAGAGGAGGAGGTTCGCTGGAGCCTCATCGTGAAAAATGGACGAGGCAGAGAAGGCAGGCGCAGAGACTCACAGGGAACAGCATGTGAAGTGGAAGGAACTTTCACGTGAAGCGCCGGACTCACTGCAGAGCAGGGGGCCGACACAGAGGCTTTGCGGCATGTCGTGAAGGGGAGCGTTCTCTAGGAGAAAATGGAAATACGAGAAGTTACGCAAAGACGTCAAGTGTAAAAAGAAATCGTTCCGCACATCTGAGCTCTGCCGACAGTGGAGTCCTGAGTCCCCATCCCAGGTCCTGGCGCCTTTTAGGAGTGGATTCTGAGCTTCTCTGTGACGGAATTATTGATAGGTCAGCAGCATCCCCGCTACACTAGATGGATGATTCCACTCGATCATATGTGAACTTGTGACAAAGAATGCACTCACTCTTGTTTAAAATTTCTAACTAGCCTCAGAAAAATATGAAGAGGAGTTTCATAATGTCAGATTATTGAAAGGGAAGCAGCCAGTTGTTGGGGACACTGGAAGATAAGAGCATTAGGAGAAGAGGGACAGAGAGACAGGGTTGCTCTGCCTCAGATCCCCCAGCCCTCAGACAGAAGCCCTCAGGCAGCCCGCCACCCTCATCCTTCCCTGTAGTAACCATTTGTTGTTGATCCTTTGCTGGCTGACCTCCCCAGCTGTTCTTAGCCAATGACCTCATCTTCTTCTTGCAATAAAATAGCAGGTAATCAGCAAGAACCCCCTCCACTCCCTCCCGGAAGTACACATTCATCCACAGTCACACTCCTTTTTCTTCTTCTGTCGGGTCCCAGTCTGCTTTTATGCTTTCCTATATTTTTCACGTCCTGTCCATTGAACAGACAATACTTGTGATGGAAGAGGCTGCACCCCCAAGGCCAAATCCAACTGTGAAATCATCGTCATGAAAGAAATAGTGTGAAAATTGCATTTTTAATCTTTAAAGTCTTCACTGTAAAATATGAAAGTCAATAATTCAGTGACCTAAACAATTTGAAAATTCAAATAAACTGGCATTGTAATATCTGACAGAATAATTGAACAAGGAATGAATGACATAAGTGTAGGTTTTAAATAGTCTACTACTTTACATTTCAGTTACTTAAGGAGATTCCAGTCATTTACTGGAGTTTAAAGAGTCTTGATTCTTTTAAATAAGCATAGAAAGAGAACTCTGCATGGGTGAAGCCATATTCTTTTTAAGCTACTAACAAATGACTGAAGCAGCCGTGGGCTCTGCATTTTGCCAAGCCACGTGCTCAAGGCAGTGACCTAGTTGCAAGTCCCGCCCTCCAGACTGACCTTCCCAGCTCCATGCCCACAGTTTCCAGAGAGAGTCCCGAAGTGCGGAATCTAAATCCACACTCCGTAACTTGGCCACGCGTGGTCTGGTATATGGGTGTCTCCGGCTCATTGCTCTCCCCTTTTGTGTGCATTCCACAGTGTGCTCCCCTGAACCCTGGGTGAGAAGGGTTCTTGTGTCTGTACCTCCATTGTTTTGCACCTGCTGTTCATTCCGCCGAATTTTTAATAAATTTTCCCAGCTGCTTTTGCTTTCCTCTGCTTTCAACACTTCTGGGAAATTTTCTTCCCCTTTCCCTTTCCCGGTGCCACGCCGGGTGCTTCCCTTTGCCACAGCATGTGACACGTTGCCTGATAGTTCTCTTCAGTCGCCTGTCATCTCCATCCCGCCAGCGACCTTACTAGACAGGACACCCCTTTCCTGCCGCGGTGTCTAGCAGGAGTGCCAGCCACAGGGTAGGGGCTAAGTAAGGGATTTTTTTTGGTTTTTGTTTGTTGGGTTTTTTGTTTTTTTTTTTTAACGCGGTAAGATTACTTTCTTTTTGTTGAGATGCTAGCTGCTTTTGTTAGTTCACCAGAATTGTAATATCTGCAGTTTGCTACTTGTAACTAAAATCATCTCAAATATTTTTGTTTGTTTGAATCTTATCTGAGAGCTTTCTCCTCCTTGCGTTGGTCACTGGAAGATCATAGCTATATTAGCAACCTGCTTTCAGCGACTGCAAGGGACACCATGGCTTACCAATATGTTCTAAGGATATTCTTGACCTTTATTCTTCCTCTGCCCCTATTTAATGAGCATTCCTTTTAGATTCTATCCACGTTCAAAGTTCTGAACACATAGCTCTTCAGCAAATATTCAGTTCCTCCTTTATGAGAAAACATTTTTAAAAATTTAAGGTGGTCACGTACAAATTGTATAAGCCTTACCCCTGCAAAGATAGTATCATCCCTTCAGATTAATAGTTGTCTTACAAAATGGAGCACATTACAATATACCTTGCCATTCAGTTACTTTTGCTTTTCTAAATCAAATAAATTGAGGTATACTATTTAGTAGATGCTTCTTAAAAGAGAGTAGCTAAGGTCAGCACTTTAAAATCCGTCACTTGGCTCCTCCCCTTGTGTGTAGTGGCTGCTGACGTTCATCACCTGTGAGTCTCATCATTTTAGAAATCCAGGAGAGAGGTCGGCAAGGGTAATGCTTTACTAGGATAGTTAACAATGTAAGCTATTCTTCATAAAGTTCTTAATACGTATCTGGCATTTTGCTGGAATACATACGTATGTATATGTAATTTCTCATTCTTTCAGGATACTTATTAAGGATTCACATTTTACAGGTAAAGAAACAGATTCTGGGGAAGTGGGTGAACTTGACTGAGATCAGTGACAGTAAAACACAGAAGCCCATCTGACTCCACATCTTTTCTCTTACCCCTTGACCACATTTCTCCACTTCAAAAGCTCTGGTGATGATCATTAAATTGATTACCATTGATAATACTGATGTTCCAAAATACTTAGATTATGTCCTGGCTCTTTTAAATGTTAAGTAAATACCAGTTAAGTCCAAAGTCACTATGTAATTGATTATCCCCAGAAACTTAGAAATCAGTTGTAGGGTAGGCTTCACACTTGCATAGATATAAATGTCATTGAGCAACGTATCTAATTTGATCTTACAGAATGATCATCTCTCTGGACCTTTTTCAGTTCCAAAATACCTTTAAAATAACCATAGTGTACTTGTTATCACATCTGCAGGATGTCCTCATAGAACTAGGAGAATGGCTTTAGCTCTTTTTGGGTTGTTTTTTATTGTTGAGTTATGAGAGTTCTTCATATATTCTGGACACTAGACCATTGTCAGATATGTGATTTGCAAATATTTTCTCCCGTACTGTAGATTGTCTTTTCACTTTCTTGCTGATGTCCTTTGACACAGAAGTCTTTAATTTTGCTGGAGTCCGTTTTATTTATATATATTTTTTGGTTGTTTGTGCTTTTGTTAGAATATCTAAGAAACTAATAACTAAGGTCACAAAGAGTTACACCTGTGTTTCTGCTGTTCAACCTGGCTAGTGAATTTTTCATTGGAGTTGTTACACTTTGCACCTCAAGAATTTCTTTGGATTCTTTTCTGTATTTCTTGTATCTTTATTAATATTCTCGATTTTGGTGAGGCATTGTTCTAATACCCTTCTTTAGCTTTTTAGATACAGGCTATCATTTAGTTCCTTGAACATATTTCAAATAACTGATTTAAAGTCTTTGTCTAGTGGGATGCATTGGGAGATTGGGATCGACCTATATACACTAATATGTATAAAATAGATAACTAATAAGAACCTGCCGTATTAGCACAGGGAACTCCACTTCACTGTACAGTAGAAACTAACAACCTTGTAAAACAACTCTACCCCAATAAAAAATAAAAATAAATAAAGTCTTTGTCCAGTAAGTTCAGTGTCTCAGCTTCATCAGGGATATTTTTCTATTGACTACTTTTTTTTTCTCGTGTATAGACTATACTTTTGTTTTTTCTTTGCATGCTGCATAATGGTTTTTGTTTGTTTAAAACTGGACATTTACTATAGTGTGTCCGTGCGAAAATCAAATTCTCCTTCCTCCCTAGGATTTGTTTTTTTCTTGCTTTAATTACTTTTCCAAACTGATATTGTAAAGTCGATATTTATCATGCGTTGCCTCAGAAGTGTCTTTTCTCTCTTGCCTTTGCGGTCAGCTAATGGTTGGACAGAGATTTTGTCAAATGCTTGGAAATTAAGTGTGTAGTCTTTACCAAGAGGCCGTGGGTACCTGCTGGAGCTTGTCTTCAACACTGAGCCAATCAGTTTACAACTAACTGTCTTAGCCTTGACTTTCCTTCTTATACTGAACCTCAGGGTCAGCCAGAGGAGAGCTCAGGGCCTTCTCAGGTCTGTCCTGGGCAAGTACCTGACACTGCAGCCTTTGAGATTCCAGAAATATGTCAGAACTTTGCAGAGCTGGTAGGGACATCTCATTCCCCCACTTTTCCTTGTAAGCTTTGTGGTTAGCCTGTTATTTGCTCCAGTCTTTCTCCACCGCTTCAAGCAGCTAATCTCATAAACAATTGCCTCTAATTATTTTCTTCAGATACCCTGAGGGAAAAGACTTTGTGCACTGGATGAGCTCCCGGTCAAATAAAGGCAGTCCTCTGGGGATGGGGTTTTGAAAGCCTCCACCCTGCCCTGCCTCCTCCAGTGACCTCCAGCCTGCTGGCTTCCTGCATGCTGGATTGCGGCTCCTGCAGAGCCGGTGGGGGGTGGGGGGTGAGGGGTGGGAATAGGACCGAGCTCACCCTTCATTCCAAGGTGCAGCCAATTTTTTAAAATATAAATGCTCCCTAGATCTCTGCAAGCCTTTGGTTAACTTCCAGGCATCTAAAAATGTTGATTCTAACCATTTTTGCCAGTTTCTCTCTGCTTTTTCAGGAGAAATTTTGGAGGTTCTTACTCTTATCATTTTCACTGATGTCACTTTTATATTTTTCCTTACATTATAATTAGATATATAGTTAAATGGTCGCCGAATTAATTCACTAAAAGCAGAATGCGTCTTCCTTTCCAGAAATTTCTCTGAACTTTTTTGTCCTCTCCTGTTATATTTTAGGACTATGATGATGGATATGGCACTGCTTACGATGAACAGAGTTATGATTCCTATGATAACAGCTATAGCGCCCCAGCCCAAAGGTAAGAGCCAATCTTTATGACCAGACTCCATAGCAGACACTTGTGCCCTTCCACAGTTGCTGTACTCTGGGAACAGGGTGATGATTGGCCAGTGACGGTGATTTGACTCGGCCTGCTTGGTTTCGTTTGTTTTCATCGGAGAAGCACTATCTATCCTACCGAATAGCACGTATTCCTCTCAACTTGACTGTAGTGCTAAAGCAATGAGTCTTGGAAAATAAAAGCTGAAATTTTATTTGCTCTAAAAATTTAACTTAAGCATTCAGTATATTCTAAGGAAGAACAGTGTCTACCAAGTCTGTGGCTCTTCAAGTCCTAAGGCCCAGAGTCATATCAGAAATGTGTAAATATCCCGCATTGTCAGTGCCTGGGGATGGAACTGACAAAAGTTTTTTTTCAGTGTTCATAGATCATTGCTGTTTCTTCGCAGCAGTGCTTCTGTTTTCTAACAACTTGAAATTCCTATTTGTGAAAAATGAGTGAGTTCTAATTTGTTTTCTAAAGAAGTGTTGACTTAGAAATGAGTGTTATTAGAGGGAAACACAGCTTCATAGTTACGTCTTCTGATAGTAGACCTTGATGTCCATTGATACATGAAATCCGTGTTCCGTTCAGAATGTTTTCCTAAATGCCTAGAAACCTCTTGCTTTATGTTTAAAATTCTGAGCGGTAGACAAAGACAGACATACGCAAACCAACATACTGGCTTTATGAAGCATAAATAAATATGGACTACATGGTTATTTCGATGGAGCATAAATTCACTTTTGAACTCATTCGGAGCCAGGCAAGCTTTGAACAGACGGGCACCCTGGTGCTGAGGTTGACAGGGATATAATTTTTTCTCTTTTTGTTCATGCCAGATTTTTTACTTATATAATTTATAACAATTAAGTAGCCATTAAACTTTGACTCCCAGCTGGTCTTCTTTACGGGAAGCCTTGTGCATGGTGTTTGCATCCTTGCGGGTTTTGGCACGCCCGGGGGTGACTGGCACACAGTGGACGTTAGACGGGACTTTATGTGTCTCACCCTGTACAGGTGTCCCGGCAATGTCACGAAGTATGTGGGGCTGTTCCCGTTATACAGATGAAGGGAAGGAGCACAGAGCATAAGATTAAGTAATTAGCCGGAAATCACACATGGAGTGCAGTCCTTTAAAGACTCACACGTCTCATTTAATCTGAACGGCAACAGCAGGAGTTAATGTGCCTGTTTTACAGATGATGAAACTGAGGCTCGGAGAAGTAAATAACTAACCCAGAATGTGAACCAGACTTGGAAAGCTTGTAGGCTTCCCACTTTAAGCTGTGATAACGTATTAATATGATTGATCACACGCACTCGTTCCTTTGGTCATTTATTCATTCAGCCAACATTTATTAAATGTCCACTACGTGTATTAAATGTAGGCACTGTGCTCGATGCTGGATTACAAAGATTATTGAGACAGAGACCCTCTCCTTGGGAAGTTCACAGGCTAGAATGAAATACAAACATTTAAAAGCAATGTAATGTGGTAATCACGTGAGAGTCTGAGGAAAAACACAGTATTTCCATAAGAAGACAGCGCTCAAGTCCGGTTGGGAACACTGGGGACATTTCACTGAGAAAGTGAAGGGCAAGTAGGGGTCACCAGGGTACAAGCAGGGAAGGACATTTCCCAAAGCCAGAGCAAGGCACAGAGCCTGACACAAGAAGTGCTGCCTGAGCTGGAGGGCGTGCCGCACGGGACAGATGAGGCAGGAGAGGGAGTGACCGCATCCTCCCCAGTCTCAGGGTGCAGGCTCCGGACCGTGGGCAGCAGCAGGGAGCCAAGGGAGCAGTGTGTTCACACCTGGATTCGGAGAAATGGATTAGAAGGCGGTAGAGAGGCCAGATTGGCAGATGGCGAGCCTGGAGGCAGAGACCCATTAGGAGGCTGGCACGTTGCGAATTATAAGCCCTTTAAATGTCAGGAAGACTCACGTGAAAGAAACACCTTTCATGACAGCCAGCCCACCTGCCCGGAAGTGATCTTTTCAGTGCTACCTGAAGGAGTTACAGAGAATTGCATGAGAATGCCACACGTTGGCAAGTGCGGAAGTCACTGTTGGTCGGTTACTCTTAATATTCATTTAATCCTCATAACCTGTGAAATAAGTGTCAGTCCTTTTAAAGAAGAAAAACTGGTTTACAAAAATTAGGTAACTTGCCTAAGATCATGCAACTTACAAGCGAAGGGGCCCGACTGAGCACCTCGGTCTGTCTGCCTGTCTGTCTCCCTCTTCACCGTCTACTGTAAATCACAATGAAGCAGCTATATTATGGAGCAGCGTGAAGAAATGGTTCCAGGTGCTGTATTAGTTTGCTAGAGTTACCGTAACAAAATACCACAGACTGTATTTAAAGCAACAGAAATTTGTTTTCTCAAGGTTACAGAGGCTGGAGGTCCAAGATCAAGGCGTTGGCAGATCTGCTTTCTTCTGAGGCCCCTCTCCTTGACTCGCAGCTGGCCGCCTTCTCACTGTGTCCTCTGTGCGCGTGCATCCCTGCTTTCTCTTTGTGTCCAAATTCCCTTCCTTGTAATGACAGCAGTCAGATTGGACTAGGGCCCACAAAAGGCCCCATTTTAACTTAATCACCTCTTTAAAGATGATTGATTGTCTCCAGATACACATTATGAGGTACTGGGGGTCAGGGCTTCAACATATGATTTGGGGGGAAAACACAGTTCAGCCCATAGCATGCACATATTATAACATCGGTTTAAGTACAACACTATGTATCTCATAATTAGAAATCTAGTATAAACCAGTTAGGAGAGCAGATTTTTTTGAGATCATCCCCAGGATTGAGTAGTGGGTGTTGACCAGGAAATCACCATCACATCATGTCCAGCAGTGAACGTTGGCTGTGTGCTCGGTGTACTATACCATGGGCTTCACACAGATCCTCTCCCCCCTCAGCATGCCCTGAACTATTGCAAAATTCAAGTCTAAACACGTCATTCCCTTGCATACAGGTTCAGAGAGGTTAAATCGCTTATCCAAACTCAGAAGGCTGAGCAGTGGTAGATCCACATTGGCCCCAAGCATCCTCGTTTGTACTTCCATTGCCTTTCAACTCTCCTTTTGTCATGGTTTTGATTTCAGTTACTGAAACTGGTTCCTATTAATATTTTCCATATACGGTATTCAAAGATCTGATATTTTGTGATGCTTTTAAATCCCTTAGGAATCATGCTTTCATCTGAACTGGAACTGTTGTTGCCTTATAGACTGCAATGCCTTAATCAAACCTAAGAATTTCATTTATCCTGCATATTGATGTTGTGGGCTAAGACGAATGAAATTAAGAACTTGGTTTTTCCAGTTTTACGTGAGATCCTTTCAGCAAAGAACATTCACGACCACTACTTTCAAGGAGCAAACAACCTAGTATCCACTAACAGATAATACCATGTAACACTTGATATTCTGGGGTCTAAATTTTCTTGGTTTTTACACTCCAGGTTCTATAAAATTTATTTCAAACTTCAATAATTCTCTCAATTCAGAATTTGAAAGTACAGTCTGTGCTGTAGTTATATAGCTCAGCATTACTGCCGAATTCTTTACTTGGTCTCCTTTTAGATTACAAGCTGTTCTGAAAATGTTCTTTGACACGTCAAGACGTAGTGGAAAGAGCACAGAGCAGAAGTTCTTAGGACCGCACTGTCCACCCTGGCAGCCTCCAGCACACGCGCCTGTTGAACACTTGAACGGTGTCTAGTCCAAAGGGGGATGTGTTGGGGGTGTCAGGCACATACCCGATTCCAGAGGCGGTGTGGAGTAAATAAAGGACGCAAAATAAATACACGATTAAGATCAACATCACCTGTTTCTTTTTACTTTTTGTTTAAACGTGGCTACTAGAAAACTCTAAATTACAAATTTCCCTTGGACAGCGCAGAGTTAAAAGACGGCGCGGTGTCTCTGGCACCAGCACAGAGGAGCTGTGTCTCAGGTTCAGGGCAGTGCACCCTCGGGGCAAGCAAGTCAGTTCACCAGGAGCAGAAAGAGGAGTAGAGAGTGTCCAGTAACATTGATCCTTTTGAAACTTCTATTTTAAAGTTTTGTACTATGTTACTACCACTATAGCACACATGTTACCCATAAATAGTTTCAGTTACAAGGTCAAAAACCATTTCTTTGTGATGCAGATGTGTTACCAGAAACGTCTGCAGACCCAGGCCACGGTGTAAGAGTCTGATGGAGCTGGGTTTAGGTCCCACTTTTAACGCTTACTGGTTACGTGACTGTGGGCAAGTCATTTCACCTCTCTAAGCCTCCATTTGTAAAATGTGTAACTTGGTTTTTTCTTTGGAGGATCGACCTGAAGGTTGGACGAGACAGGAAAGCCCACAGCCCTAGTGAAGCGTCTTCTCTGTGAGGGACTAAATGAGACCTTCCCCTGCGTAGTTCCACATTCCACCAGGTGGTTAGCGTAGCGCTGAGGGAGCCCCAGTGCCCGCCCTACATAGAAAATAGAAAATTCAGCATAGTTCAGCTGCGTTTCCCCATCGATGTTTGTGATGGCCCCCATAGCGTAAAACAAAATGTAAAACAAAGCATTGTTAATCTAACTTCACACATTTAATGAGTAACAAGCTGTCATCTATTACTGTGAAGAGAAATATGAGCTATTCTTTACAATACTGGAGTTATTCTAATATACATTGGCTCAGAAATAGTTATTGATTCATTCCTGTGGGCACACCGCTCTGGAGTAGCTGCGGTGAATTAAAAAAGAGCCGGGTGATAAATGGCCTCAGTCCTGCCCTGACATGACTAGAGCCTTCACAGAAATCATAGTCTGACTCCTGGAAACCCTTTGTAAATGTATCTATTTCATTCTAAACTAAGTGGAATTAGTTGTCATTTGATACTTACAGCGTGGTGACTAAATAATACAGCAAATACAGCAAATACGGAAATTTGCTAAGAGTAAATTTCAGGTGCTCTCATCACACGGGAAGA